TTTTTGTGAATAAATATTCACATTAGAATTCTCTAATACACTTTCCGTTTTAGAATCTCACAGATTTAAAACTGAAATCCTCATATTAAAATTTCCAAAACATTAATTTGATCATATCTGTATTTATGCACGTGTGTTGTTGTAGTAACACTCTGTGATGTGTTTGTTTCTTCTTCAGCACACTCACTATCCACGTCTGATTCCCATCATGACCAGCAACTGCACGTCTAAATCAGTGGTCGTCAGACGGTGAGAACACTCACTCACTCACACACACACACACACACACATACATACTCACTCACTCACACACACACACACGTCCTCTCTGATTTGCGTCGCTCTGATCTTAACAGGAAATATTTGCTCTGACTTGCAGACGCTGTTATGAGTTTTTAGATCTTCTGCTTCAGGAGTGGCAGAAGAATTCTCTGGAGAGGTGAGAATTAAAGCAATAGTTCACCATTTTCTCACCTGCATGTCATTCCAAACCTCGGTGAAACACAAGATGAAATGTTTTGAATAATGTAGTTTGTTACTCTTTTTCATATTTTCCATGAGCGACTGCTTTTTAAATATCACCAAATCGTTTGGTTGAACTGTTTCATTAAACTGAATCATCCAAATGAACTGGCTCTTTTGAGTCAATTTTTGTTGCACTGTTATTTTATGTATAATCATTTTCAATATTTTATTGATTTTTATTTATTTTTTATCCTTCTTGTGATTTTTTTAATTATTATTTTACTTTCTTTTATGTGAAGCACTTTGAATTACCATTATGTATGAAATGTGCTATATAAATAAACTTGCCTTACCTTTAATAAATCATTTGATCCAGTTCACAAAACTGCTACTTTTTGTGAGTAACTGTCAGTGTAATTGTGGTTTAACTATGTTAAAGGAATAGTTCACCCAAAATGAAAATGTCCTCACCCTCAGACCATCCGAGATGTAGATAAGTTTATTTCTTCATCAGATTTGGAGAAATGTAGCATTACATCACTGACTCAGCAGTGAATGGGTGCCGTCAGAATGAGAGTCCAATCAGCTGATAAAAACATCACAATAATCCACAAGTAATCCACTCCAGTCCATCAATTAACATTTTGAGAAGACAAAAGCTGCGTGTTTGTAAGAAACAAATCCATCATTAACATTTAAATTAATAAAGTCCATCATTCATAATATTGCTTCCTCCATTGAAAAAGTGGTCTGGTCTGAATCAGGAGAGAAATCTGCACAGATCAAGCAGCGTTGGGTTTCATCCGATTGATTGATTCCAGCTCGTGTTCTGCTGTGGTGGAGTTTGGCAGAGCCGCTGAATGGACTCACAGTTTTTATCCTCTCGTCTCCTCAGGCACATCGCTGTCCTGATGGAAACCATTAAGAAAGGAGTTAATGATGCCGACTCTGAGGCCAGATCAGTCGCTAGGAAGTGAGTGATTCTGTGTTTGTGTTTAATAATAATAATAATGATAACATGATTGTTGATATCCAAATCATCTCAACACAGAAGGGATTCGCTCAATGTAAAAAACTGAAATGTAGACAAAAATTAGCTGATTTTGGGAAATATTCAGGCATCAAAATATTACAATCAGCTTTATTTTAGTATGATTTACTATCATAGTTTTTATTATTTTGAATGTTTTCTGTTTTAGTAATTTTGTGTTTGTCATTTTTATTAAATATTTTTTAATATGTCTAAAGATTTTATCAGGTTTTGGTTTGTAAGGTTTTATTATATTTACTGTAATAGTTTTTGTTAATATTTTAAATGTTTAGATTTTTTAATTTCAATTTTTTCAGTTTTTTATTGTAATTTTAGTTTAAGTTTTAGCAGTTCTGTGTGTGTTTTTTGTAATTTTTATTATTGATTTTTTAAAAATATCTATGGATTATATTACATTTTATTTTTTAATTTTGTATTATATATATCTCTATATATATTATGTTCTGTTTATATTTTTATTTAAATTTATTTGAATGACAGTTTTTTAGTTTTTCATTCTTTTCTTTCTTTTTTAAAGAATAATCGCCAAACAATCCAATAATGAGGTGATTGTATAAAATGTAGAGCCTATTTTTATTATTTATTTTTTTGGTGTCTATGCCGTTAATGTTTATTAATTATTATTTAAATACAAATACATTTTATATATAAATATATATTTATTTACATGTGAATTTTAATTATTTTAGTACTTCAACTTAAAAAAAAAAAAAATGTTGCCTTGGCAGCAAGCTAAAATGAAATAATTATATTTTTTTTTTTTAGATAATGTTTATTTTATTCATGCAATGAAAATGTATTTCTATGGTTTTAGTTTTAGTTAACAATAACCCTGATTACAATGTAGAATAGTTACAATACTGGATAACTGTGTAGCCTAGAAAAAAAAAAACCTCTAATATCAGCCTAATTGCACTGATGCTAATAAAATAAACAAATATTGGGTGATATCAATATGGTCATTTATATGTTGTGCATCCATTTTGATAACTTGAGCATTGAGTTTATTACAGTGAGATGATGTTGACGAGCAGCTGTAATCTGAATGAATGTTTTGTAGATGTTACTGGGGTTTCCACGCCCACTTCAGTAAGGAGGCGGAGCATCTGTTTCAGGCGCTGGAACTGACCTATCAGAAAGCGCTGCAGTCTCACCTGAAGAGCTCCGACAGCATCATGTCTCTGCCGCAGTCCGATCACTCGTCCTCCAGCTCGCAGGAGAGCCTCAAGTGAGAAACGCTCTCAATTAAGACTCGTTAGTGTGTAAATGAGCTTTCACTCTTGAATCTTTGTGTTTTCACGCTCTTAATTTGTCTCGTAGTCGGCTGCTGTCTGCTAAAACACCTGTCGGGAGCAACTTGAGCAAAAGTGAGAATGTACAAGTTTTTTTTTTATAAAGAAAATTATTTTGTAAAATAGCAGTATAGATGTATATGGAAGCTCGTTTTCACCACTGAATAAAAAATAAAAAAGGTAAACATTTTTTTTCTCGCAATTGCGAGTTTTGACTTTTTCTCCTCAGAATTGCGTAATATAAACTCGCAATAGCGAGAAAAAACTCATAATTGTGAGATATAACATCGTAGTTCTGAGAAATAAAATCGCAATTCTGAGAAACTGACAACTGACTTCTTTTCTTCAGAATTTTGAGTTTATATCTCACAATTCTGAGAACATATTCCTCCTCCTCAAAACAGTCAGAATTGCAAGATACAAACGAGATGTAAACTTGCATTTACTTTTAAAAAAATTGTATTCAGGTGTTTTGGGAAACGGGTTTCCATAGATGTATGTTTATGCTGATACTAGAGTTTCATTAAAGCTGCAATCCGTAACTTTTTTTGGTTTAAAATGATCCGAAATCAATATTTGAGCAAGACACACTCTTCAGAACATTAGATTCATCCGCGCTGGAGCCCCGCCGGAGCACAACCCACGCAAGCTAGATAATTCCTCACACAGCTGCAATTCCAGGTTTTCAAACAGAGATGGCAAAACTTACGGACTGCAGCTTTAAATACGTTCCATAAACATTTATAATTTTCTCTAACTTTCTCTCAGCTAAAGTGGTGAGTTCTCGCGCATCCTCTTCGTCCGGCTCTCTCCAGCGATCGCACAGCGATGTGGACGTTAACGCCGTGGCCAGTGCCAAATCACGAATGCCTGCTGTTGCTGCTACCGCCCCCTTCAGCTCAGCCGCGGCACTGCCGCCCGGTTCCTACGCCTCTCTGGGTAAAACAACCCACACTTACATGTTTAGAGCGGTGGAGAACAGTAATCAGAGTAAATACTGATGTAGAGAGCCAAACAATCCCATAATGAGGTGATTGTGTGAAATTTAAGGCCCCATTTTTTTGTGTGTGTGTGTCTGTGCTGTTAATGTCCTTCAATTATTATTAATAATAATAATAAATGTCATAAATAAATAAATAAATAAATGTCATATATATATTGATTTATAATTATATTTAAATTATAATTAAAGGGCATTAATTGTAAATGTTTATATACTATATATTATATGTAATTTTATTTAAATATATATTTTTTAATTATAATTTTTTTTGTAGAGAGCCGAGCAACCCGATAACAAGGTGATTGTGTGAAATTTAAGAACTCTTTTTAGGTGTCTGTGCAGTTAAGCTATTTTAATTATTATTTAAATAATAATACACTTTATATCAAAAAATATATATTTATATTTAAATTAATAATTAAAGTACATTAACTTTGAACATGCTTGTACCATTTATATTTAAATAATTAATGTATAATTAATTACATTTAAATTAATTATTTTTTAATTATACGTTTTAAAAATCATATCTCATAATAGAATATCACATTATTTAATGAGTTTAGAAATGATCAAATTTTGATTCAATTTACTTGTTGAACTAGCACACCTTCTGTAAAGTGACTACACATGATAATTTTAATGCCATGTTTTAGCCTTTTTTTAAATATAAAAGTGAATTAAGTAATGTTGAATTGTCCAATGGTATACATTTATTATTACTATTATTCTATGCATGACAACAGAAAGATGCTATGTTGTCGACAATTCCCAGACAAACTATATCTGTTTTTGTGTTCTGTTTGATTTTGACTATATTTACTTTAATATATTTATGCATCAGGATAATATAAGCAAGCTTTTGGATCAGGCATTAGAATCTATTCCAAGCATGAATTTTGGCACACATGTTCATATGAGGGGGTTTTGATGAATAATACACTCCTGCATGATCCCAAACGGTTTCCTCTAACACGCGCTGATGCTGTTGTCTTCTGTTGTACCTCTACTCTTATTTGCTCAAAGATGCGGCTGGTAATGTGGAGGGTAAGATGTGTGTGTCTCATCTATCACTCTGTGCCGTTTTGTGTTGAAATGTCGTCAGTCTGTTTGAGACGCACACAGGAGACGGGTCCAGTTCATTGGCTAGTGTGGGTAATTTGATAAATATGTGACATAAAATCAAGATGCAACATTCTCCAGCATTTATATGAATATATGTTTGGATAAGCGTTTTGAACATGTTCATGTCAGTCAGCATGAGTCTTCACAGCGTCTGTGTTCGGTTTGGGTTTGTTGAGTATAAGTCGTGTGTTTGGGTTTTGTATTTAGGTTTTTGTGCATCTATGCATCAGTTTGCACAGTTAAATGAATTGTGCAGTAAGTAATGTCTGTTTATGTCTGTTTGATTAAAATATAAATGTATTTAAAAACATTAAATTAATTAATATATGCATTTGTAATATTATGTTTATATATATATA